TGACAGGAGCACGGATCCCAACTTTAATGAAATGCACTCAATAAATACAGATGATATAAGTAAAAAAACTATAAAACAATATTATACTACGCAATATGCTGTGTCAGTATGACACTTACTTACCTGTAGTCGAAGGATACATGTTATTCTTATATTGTAGATACAAAATGAAGAATGTGAATCCAACGTTTTTATTTTTTATTAAAAAAATTATATATTTTTTATTTTGTAACTTCCATCACACAAAATAACACATTCAGAAAGGTGTATCACATGTTTATGAAACAAAACAAATGATCGACAAACAGTGCTTGGTAGTTTTGTGAGACTTTTTACTACTCTGAACCCAATTTCTACAGGCTCGCACTACCTGTTAGCATCTGGCATCTGTTAGCATCTAGCTCTCCTGCTTACAAACTTTTAGCCATCCCTGCTTATACAAGTAGTAGTTTTAGTTGTCTGCGATCTGCGGAGGCCTACCTGTGAGTACGGCTGTACTGAGGTGTTTTTCCTCCGGAGACGTTGCGAAGAGACGGAGCGGCTCCACCTGTTGCTGCATGCGATCTGCGATTTACGGAGGCCTGCTCGTCGCGAAGAGACGGAGCGGCTCCACCTGTTGCTGCCTGCGATCTGCGATCTGCGATCTACGGAGGCCTGCTCCCACCTGTAGAGTACGGCTGTACTGGAGAGGTTTTTACCCCGGAGACGTCGCGGAGAGACGGAGCAGCTCTACCTGTTGCTGCCTGCGATCTGCGATCTACGGAGGCCTGCTCGTCGCGAAGAGACGGAGCGGCTCCACCTGTTTGCTGCCTGCGATCTGCGATCTGCGACCTACGGAGGCCTGCTCCCACCTGCACGGCTGCACTGGAGAGGTTTTTACCCCGGAGTCGTCGCGGAGAGACGGAGTGGATCCACGCTTCGGCCCTGCCTGCTTCCACCGGGCGTGTGCTGCTGTACGGAGGAGGATTTTACCACGGCTGGGGCCTGCTTTCCACCTGTCCTGGTTCTGCTGTCGCAGAGGCCTGCTTTCACCCCGGGGATACCACGCTGCTGCTTTCGCCTGTCTTTTGCTGCTGAGCTGATTTTGCTCCAGGAACATCGCGGTTCCCTGGTCTGGGAAAATGGCCCATATCGGGATTCTGCTGTGCTTGTTAACTATTTTTGGACTATGAGAAGATCTCTAGTAATTCTGAGGAGTCTACTGGATTCAGGTCTGTTCTGCCACCCGCAGTGGGCATCCCCTGCAAAGGTTCGGATGTGTTACACAAACAATTACCGGTTGCCTTGTCACAGTCAATCTGCTCGACAAAATATGTTTGTCTTTTTTGTTTTCCTGCGATGATGGTTCTTCAGGACTGCTTCTTAAGCTCTAATCACACTCTCGCAGACTTTTCCGGTGATTCTAAAGTAGATGACAATGTATGTGTGTCGCTTAAGAGGAAAATATGCCTGGTTTTGTTGTTGTTATTACTGTCAGGAAATGTACAACCTAACCCTTGGCCGTCCAGTAGTAGTAGTCAGATCGTTACTCCTGCTGATTTTAAAGCTAGGTCTGGGTTGGGTTTCATCCACTTGAATGTGCGCAGTCTGTTAGGTAAACTAGATTTTGTCCGTATCTGGGCGAGCTCAACTATTTTGGCCTCTGACATTGCCTTAAATGGTTTTTAATGTGTATCGTACCGACCGGCCTAATAAAAGTGGTGGCGTTGCCATTTATGTTAAGATATGTTTATGTTCAGTGTAACCGCTGTAGTTTCCAAATCTATCAGTAAGCAATTTGAATTTTTAGCCTTAAATATAGAAGTGGCAAAGGGTCAACAGGTCATGGTCGTGGGCTGTTACAGACCCCCCTCAGCTGTCAAAGACTCCTTGTCTTCGCTAGCAAATCTTTTATCGCAACTAGACTACAAGGAAATAGTGCTACTTGGAGATTTTAACTGGGACTGGTTAACTGCAGTGTCAGAGGATTTAAAAAACCTTTGTATCTCTTTAAATGTTACTCAGATTGTTGACAGTCCTACTCGCCCTAATATTAAGTCCCCAAATAAATCCTCCCTAATTGATCTCATTTTAACTAATGTTCCCTATAAATACTCAGCTGTGGGAGTATTTGTGAATGATCTGAGTGACCACTGTGTTGTAGCCACAATTAGGGACACTAAGGTCCAAAAGGTTAAACCTCGTATTATCATCAAGAGAGACATAAAACATTTTGTGGAGCAGGGTTTTGTGCATGATCTGTTTGGGTTTGATTGGGGAAAAATCGATTTGTGTGCTGATGTTGAGACTGCATGGTCTTATTTTTATCTTGGTTTTATGGAAATTATAGATAGACATGCACCCCTGCGTAAATTTAGAGTGAAGGGACGAGACAATCCTTGGTTTTCTGCTGAATTATCTATTCTCCTACATGAGAGAAACAAGGCCTGGGCAAAGGCTAGGAATTCAGGCTCAGAGGTAGAATGGCTGCGTTTTAGGCAGCTAAGAAATAGCTTCACTTCACATGTCAAAAGTGCTAAATCTAAGTATTATCTGTCAGTTACCACAAAGAACCTGAACAACCCTAGCAAATTCTGGAAAGCCATAAAATCGATATCCACCGGTGATATCCGTAATGAGCTACCTCCGTGCCTTACCACAGTATCTGGCACTATATCGGATAGGGCCACCATACTAAATTGTTTTAATGAGCATTTTGTGTCCTGTGGCTCTCTGTTTCATTATGTTTCTAATTCTGCTTCTGTGAACACCACAGTCGGTGACTCAGAACAATGTGGTCTGGAAAACCCTTTCAGTTTTACTCCTTTTACTGTTGATGTTGTTCGTGAAGTCTTAACCAAGCTAGATCCTAAAAAGCCGGCTGGTCCGGACAACGTAGAACCTTTCTTTTTAAAGATAGCTGCAGATTTTATTGCTCCACCTCTTACTACTCTTTTTAACCTCTCTCTCAGCATGAACAAAATCCCAAAAGTATGGAAGTCAGCTTATGTCCTGCCACTACTAAAAGGAGGGGAGGCCACCTTATTAAACAATTATAGACCCATCTCTAAATTGTCAGTTCTGGCCAAGGTTCTTGAACGCCTAGTGAGTGAACAGGTAAAGGTGTTTTTATGTAACAATGACATCCTGTCTAAACATCAGTCAGGCTTCAGAAAGCAACATAGCACCATCACTGCCACAATGAAAGTGGTGAATGATATTACGAGTATTTTAGATAATAAGCAGAGTTGTGCAGCTCTATTTGTTGACCTATCCAAAGCTTTTGATACTGTCGATCATCGCATTTTGAAGCAAAGGCTGGTCAGTATAGGCATATCCAGCCATGCAGTAGGGTGGTTTGTAAACTACCTCTCTGAAAGGTCCCAATGTGTTCAGTTTGATGGGCTGTCTTCTGAGTGGTTAAACATCACTAATGGTGTACCACAAGGTTCAGTTTTAGGTCCGCTATTATTCTCTATCTATATTAATAGTTTAGGTGAAAATGTCGAAGGAGCAACCTTACATTTTTATGCGGACGATACCGTTATGTACTGTGCAGGTCCCTCGATTAACGAGGCTGTTGTTAAATTACAGGCTGTTTTTAACATTAATCAGGCTCAGCTCTCTGAGCTTAAGCTTCTTTTAAATGTGGATAAAACCAAGGTAATGCACTTTTCGAAAGCTAAAGCTAAAAATACACCAGAGACTGCTTTGGATATTGTAACTACGCAAGGAATACAGCTTGAAGTGGTTACCTGTTACAAATACTTGGGTATCTGGCTTGATGACTGTCTCACTTTTAAACTTCATGTCAATAACCTGCTTAAAAAGCTGAGGTTTAGGCTAGGTTTCTTTTGCAGAAATAAGTCCTGTTTCTCGCTTGAGGCCAGGAAAAGGCTAGTCACTGTGACCTTTTTACCTGTGCTGGATTATGGTGATTTGTTGTATATGAATGCACCTGCCAATTACCTGAGCAAGTTAGATGCTGCGTATCACAGTGCACTGAGATTTTTGACAAATTGTAAAGCACTTACGCATCACTGTACCCTGTATACCAAGGCGGTTATGCCATCACTTACTGTACGGAGGCTCAGTCACTGGTACTTTTTAATTTACAAAGCCATGTTGGATAAACTACCATCTTATATCTGCTCCCTGATCTCTGCGAATTGAAAGTACTTATTGCCTGAGATCGCATGCTATGGTTTTATTAAATGTGCCAAGTGCTAGGACTGTCTTAGGGAAGAAAGCTTTTAGATGTGCAGCTCCACTAACATGGAACAGTCTGCAAAAAGAATGGAAAATTACCAAGCTAGTACCACTACATGTTTTTAAAGCTTGGTTGGATGCTACAAAATCAGATGCTGTTGGTACCTGTACATGTTGTTAAATATGTAAATTGTAATCCCTGTACATTTTGCTGTATGATGTCCTTTTGTTGTTCTGTTGTTTATGTTTTTATGTCTTCTTGTGGAACCTACTGCTGCAGGTCTCCCTTGAAAAAGAGATAATTGATCTCAATGGGATTTTACCTGGATAAATAAAGGTTTTGAATTGAATTGAACCCTGGATTCTTGCTGCTTATTGAAGTTTTGAGCTGACCTTTGAAATCTCCGAACACTTTTAACCCAATACCTATTACTTTGTCTAATGTAAATATATATAATTAATTGGCTTAATTCACAAGACTAAACCCAAATAGCTCAATTTTACAGGGGAATTTCCGAACAACATTATGCTGCTAGGTCTTCATTTGAAACCAGCCTCCATCACAGCTCCACCTCCTCCACATCCTGAGCAGCACTGAAACCTTGGAGCACAGGGTTTAAATGATAAAGTGTTTCCAGCCAGCTCATTCAAATATCATTACCTCATGACACAGATTTTCCTCTAAAAGCAAACTTGGTTGAAATCACACATACGTTCTTCTACTCTGGGCATCACAAGACATTTCCCAACACAGAAGAGAACACTTAAAAATATACTTTCTGTAAAATGTACAGTAACACTGATGAGTTGAACTCATTTGACATTTAGATTTAATTAACTTCATATTTTACAGGATTTTTATCTCCTTTCCTCTCTATGCACAATATGTTGAATAAGTCTCCTCCAATAGTCAGTGATAAAAAGAATAACAGCAAGATACTGCAGTAAGTGGGTTACAAATAAATTGTGTAAACTGTGTGAATTGTGAGGAAGATGAATACATCTGATAAACAATAATGTATGTGTGACAGGATCCTTGACAGCTGTTAGTGAAGAGATTTGTATCAGTCTGTAGAAAAAATTATAGCCACTCATCTATAGGTGAGTTTAGTGTCAGCAGTTAAACATAACAACTGCATGCAAGCATGTGGCCTGTCATGACGCTGGGTGTTCTATGGCTAACATCAAGTGTGTGAGAACCACACACACTTAAAAACACTCGGTGACCTCAGCACTTCACAACATCTGCACTTTTCTAATTTTGGACATCTTAACACTGAGTGCCACACTGGCAGAGTTCTTCACATCTCAGATCAACCCAAACAATATCAGACAGCACCAGTAAGTCCATTAGCTTCCATTAAGCTCCCCTCATCGTGTATAGGACCGCTGCCAGTTGTAAATGGCATGGATATTATGGGAACATTCTGGCACTCGTTTACACGTACTGACGCTGCGGTTGCGGAAAGTCCTCCCTGCTGCGCCTCCCCCCAGCCCCCTCCTCCTGGCAGCGAGCTGCTTGGTTCTCTCTTCTGCAGCGAAGAAGTCTGTGGTCGCCCTGAAGAACTCCAGCAGAGCTTTGTGGCTCCAGCTGATGTGACGGCTCCCCATCCCGCTGCTTGGTGCAGCCACAGGACCGACTGAACCAGATGCCCCAGCTTGGCTACCCTTGGACTGGGTGGAGAAACCACAGTGACCACCATGGTCAGTTAGGAGGAGGAAAAAATGTGGGTTTGTTTCAAAGAGTTCCAAGGGTATTGTTGATTGGGCATCACCGCGGATCGGGTCATCCTGTGCGCACACACTCAGAACAGGAATAGCCACTTCGTCCACATCTCTCAAAGGTTCATTGCGTTCCCAGTAAACATCCCAGGTAGCTGAGGTATTGCAGCTACTGCTCGTCCCCGGTGGTGCTATTGTCTGACAGAACAACGCCTCCTCCAGGTCACGCAGGGAACAGCTGGAAAACAGGGTGTCCGTCTGTATGGTCTCACCCAGCACCGTTTTGTACCTAACCACGTACACGCACACAAACATGCACACAAAAAGAACACACATTTAGAGATACAACAAGAGGATACCAGTAAATCAATTTTGAAGAGCTGGATGGGTCTCATATTCCCCCGGTGCCATTGATTTGAGAAACTCTACCTGGGTCACGATGTCTCTCAGAATCAATGACTTTACACTGAGCAGGCCATCTGTTGCTATAGTAACCTAATCGTCTCTTTAATTGTCTGTGCCTTTCCAGTAAATGGTTAGTGATGACTTGTGTCTGCTTTTCTTACACTCCCTCTGTCACCGTGCCTCCTTTCTGGCTGACTTTAAATCCACACATATATGGTTGTCTCTGTGTAATTTGTCTTTACTGTGATTTTGTATACCTTAAGCAGCAACCTTATGAAGCTTATTATATATTATTGACAAGGTGATAAATTCCCTGCGATACATTTCTCAATATTCTTGCTTAAACTAGTGCACTGTGTTCCAAAGCGATAGGATATATATGTGCTGCTCCTGTGCACCCTCCTTTAGAAATGTAATTACTTGATAGGTCAAAAAGTTATTTTGGTTGTTCTGGTCATGATTTCCTATTAGTAATTATTAAAGTTAATTGCTGATACCTGGGAACGTGGCCACAACACCATTTTTAACAAACTATAAGGTAACTGTTGCTAAATGTATTTCAGGATAGACTAAGAACTACCCTACTTGCTGTAATTGTGCTCATATTTTGCTTGTGTAATGAGGGATAGTAGCTGACAGTGTGCTCATATTATAGTTGTTTTCATCTCATCTTGACAACATTTCTGATCCTATTTACAACCTGTCTGATCATTTCCTGTTTTTTGTTTGACAGACATGCAGTGGTGTCCCTGTCATCCAAGCATTAACTTTGGTGAGTAGAATATCATAATCAAAACCATTTAAAGATTAAGGATATGTAAAGAGGACACATTGTTATGAGCCATACTTTTCTTTTGGAAGCTTACAAAGTCATGTTCCCTTGAATGTTTGGTTAACCTCATCTTTATATATTGTTTTCAGGTATTATAACCATTTTGCCACATACCTGCTGAGACATATCTTCTGGTAGAGCGCCAACGCCCACTGCAGGGGCCAGCACAGCGCGTTCTCAAACCAGCTCTGACAGCGAAAAACGGGGGACAGGCAGACGGCCGCTGTCACGTAGCTGGATGATCCACACTCCCCCAGGTAAGAGAGGAGGAGGCCGGACCCGGTGCTCTCACTCACTGCATACAGTTTCCCTGCAGGCTGTCGGTGGCGAATGTAGCGCACTGCCTCTCGCAGATCTGCAGGGTCACCGAACTGCTGCAGCTTCAGGGTGGTCAGCGGGGTGCCGTTGTGGCTTCGGCGGTTGAAAACTGCAGGGAGGTAGCCATGGGACAGTGCCGTTTCACACAACTGTGGGGAGATGGGTGGAGAAAATAAATAATAATATTTCCATATGTCAAAAAAATATTACGGATTGTGGGCGTTTGCTGGGGAATTCAGTGTTTAGTGTGTTCAGCCATAAGAGTAAGACAAGATCCATCTTTAGTCAATTTTATTTTTGTCCTGCTGAAAAGGATCTATGATTTAATTAAAAAAAAGCCAACTTAGTGTGAACTGGTGTCTTGGTTATAATACCACAGAATGAAACAATGCCTCCTTTTAGAAAATGGTTTCCATGTCATTAGACTAAATGCGGATGTAACACCTGAAAACGGCATGTTACTTCTACTTTTTGCTGTATGGAAAAAGAAATAAACAGTTGCCAGGGGAGGTGAGAACTCGGTACAATTACAGGATTAAGTGTTTCCCTCATTAACTGTGCTGCTTCAGCACTGTTCACTGTAATACTACAGATTGTTTATTTTGTTATAATTTGACAGTATGAGACATTGGGGCTAAATAAATGAATGTAAGAAAATGTTATACAAGTGAATGAGAAGTAATACCCCTTTCCTGTTCCTTTCACTTTTTTGTAATGTTTAGCATAACTTTATCTTTTCCTTTTAGGCTCTTCAGAAACTGGCTCTCAAATCTCATAGTTCTGCTAGTTCTCTCTCTGCATGTTTACAGTAAATTGTGTCAGGGAAGGAAAGCAGAAGAAAAATATTTACTTCTTGTGCTATATATAACTTCTTGTTGTATATTTTAGTAGCAGATGTGTATATATATATATTTGAGTAGATCTCTTTGTTTGTATATGTGTTATTATAGTGTTAAGTGTTTGTAACATACTTGGTATACATTTTGAAAGGAAAAAATACATATGACGCATCATCAGAAATGAGTCAGCCCATTGAGTCAGCCCTACGACTTTATTATCATAAAGTCGTAGAAATAGCTCTGAAAAGCTCTGTTCCAGTTGCTGAATATTACCTTTTAGAATAAATTATTCAGTCCAGTACACAAACAGAGGGTTTGTCTGGAAAAAGAAGAGTATGTACATTCTTTGTTTCTCTACAAGCTTTGTAGTCACAAAACAATGGTGGTAGCCTGGGCAAATATATTTGTATTTATATTTGAATATATTTGTGAGATTTCAAACGAGTTTCATAATGCTTTTTAAAATCTGCAGAAATATCAGAGGGATTTAGGGAGAGCTGCAGAGTAGTTACATTACATATTTAGCAGCTGAGAAAGGCTGCAGTAGGATTTTTTTTTTGGGTTAATTTTTATAAAAAATAGGATTTACTCAGCTGAATATGTTGCCAGGCAGTGTGAGAGAGCACTGAGCAGAACATCATTCATTCATTCATGCATTAATTCATTTGCCCCCTCCTTAATAATTCCATAGATACAGTAGCATTTTGAAATATGACAGGATAGGACGAGCAATTTAAAATTAAACTGAGTCACTTTAGTTCAGCTTTATTCCCAAAGACATTTAGACACATGATGAGACATTTCATAATTTAAAGTGCATATGAAGGTTGCTGAGATTAAATAAGGTGAGCTGGGCTTACGCCTGCCTGCTCAGTACATACAGCGACATTGATCTGATGCACTTTGTGAATAACAGGCATGAGTGATGAGTAACAACTGGTCACAATAAAAAAGAGCAAAACATTAAAAAAATACCTTTTGTTCAGAATAAAAAGCTAATTATTTATTACAATAATGAATACTGTTTTGACAATCAAATACATTTGCCAGCTGAGAGGGAACATTAGTCCAGAGTGCTTACTTAATGTGACGTAAAGTGATCCATTTCTAGATTCTATGCAGATTAAGGGTCAGGTCCCAAAAGGCTGTGTTGACACTGAATTTGTATTTTTTCAGCTCTGTGTCATTGCAGGAACAGTTAAAAAACAAACGGCAGCTACTCCGGCAGTTTTCTGCCTGAGCTGATAAACTGTCAGCTCTGTGACAAATTCCTGCAGCAGGGACTCCATACGCTGGACAACACGCCAGCTCTCATACACACCAGTGTTCTTACACACACAACAAACACACACTGCACTGAAACACATAAATACAAAAGGACTTAAACAATACCAATATTCCCTTCATGATAATTGAGGGGATCTTCCAGGAGTCCACCTCTTTTATTAAATAAACTCCAGGAGTTTCATCTCGACATGTTGCCACGAATCATGTTAAATTAAGGATGTTATTTAATTAGAAGCCTTTTAGAGGCAACAAAGCATCTCAATACAATGAGCTGTCTTCTATTCAGGTCAATAGTTTCCCTTAATACTCAACAGGCCTGTGATACTTTTCCAGGTAAAACAGTTGCTCTGCTGAGTTGGTAATGTTCAGGAGTGCAGCCAACATTTAATAAATAAGTTATACAATTAATTAATTAATACGTTTTTATTTATTTATTACAATTTAGTTGAGATTTTGATATTGAAATGCATACATAGTGTATAGTTTTACCCAGCATTACATGTAGATGTCTTCTAAATATGTCCCTGCTCTGTTGATAAACTATGCTAGAAAGTTGCTAAAAGTTCAAATAATCAGATCATTTCTTTCACAGTTACTGTACGTGTTATATATTAAATGCTATCCTCATAGAGAGTTGCTTGGTAGTGTCTGAACCAATTCATTGCATCAATATAGTTGGTTTCTTCTTTAACCCTTTGCATTTCAGAAGACAACAGGGATTTTTCTACTTTGAAATAAAAAAGCAAAAATAATCATGATTTTTTTCTTTTTTTGTGTCTTGTGAACGTTTACAAATGGACTTTAAAATACACTGTGAAGTTGCAAGACAATCTATTCCTCTGGCTGAATTTCAAACGGACAAGCATCATAATCAAGCATTCAATGGGCATAATAGCTATCTATTATTAAGGATATATGCCACAATAAATATATCAAGAACTACATTCCCAACCATTTTTACATGCCTCATAGAGTGTTTCTCTTGTTGATCTTATTATAAAGTGAAGCAATGTAAATAAGCATCTACTTCTTCCCTGCTTGGTAAGGAAGTTAATTGTTTGCATCTATTTGAAGACAGAGCATCAGCCATGAGGCCATGAGTCATAACAGGAGTGCTGCCAAAACCAGAAGGGCAGATGGAATATTCCAGGTAGTGCAAGGCACGATTTGGAAAAGTGTTGGGGCAATTTGAATGTTGCTGAACGTCTGGGGAAAATGTCCTCTGTGTCCAAACACCAACACCAATTTGGTAATGTAGCAGGACAATTATGGGCTACAAATCATCCCTATTCCTCCCTTGTTGACCCAATATGTACATAAGTATATTCCTATACTTTCAAACTGAAAATCAACTATTTACACACAATCATTGTTTTATTTCAAAGCAATAGGCAACACAATAAGATGACTAACTGTCTTAGTATACAGACATAAGGGGACAGAAAACACAAATCTAATTCCCTAATTGCTTCTCTACTTCTCATTGCAATGTTATATGGACATAGATATCAGGCATATGTCCTAAGTATTGCTGCTACTGTTACCATCTCTCATAGTCATTACGGTTAATGGTAAAACGTTCCCACTTCTACTACATAAGCGTTTAGAGTGTTATCCAATCCTGCAATGCCTTTTGAAAACTCTAAAGCTGCTCTCTCAGCGAGCAGAAAGTAAGTAAAAAGGAATGGTCTGAAACACAAGTATCTAAGTGTTGAGCGGTATATTACACATAATGACTGGATTACAGCATATCACACCTCATTAAGAGAAACAAATACTTGAAGTACAAAAATGATTGGCAGCAAAATACTGAATATATCACTACTAAGTCACACCATTATAGTTAAACTGCTCAGAGGTCGATCTGCTCTGTTAAGAAAGTACTAAGGGTGTTAATCATGAGGCAAGTCTCCAGGAACATTTATAGCCTTTCCACACATTTCTCTAAACAGAGTGTGTGGCTCATACACACCCTCAGTATATTAAACTGTTCTTTGTGTGGGACATCTTCTCTGAGGTGGAGGGAAACTATGGTTTAAAATGTAGTTTGTTCATGATTGAGATCAAGAGATTTTAAGAAAGGGTACAGTATGTGAATTCAGAATCACTTGGACTTGTACATTTAGATCATCATAATGTTTTGATTTGAAACATTTAGTTACTATTTCTTGACTTGTTGAAAGTTATGAAAAGATAGTTCGAACTCGTACAGTTAACTGTCACAGTGTAAATAGGAGCTTATACTGCAGCAGACAGTTGGCTCTGATCAGAGTGGTTTCAATTTTCACATCTAACTCTCCAAGAAATCGAACAAGTGCATTTCCAGAGAGAACAATGGCCATTTTATTTTTGGTAAATGTGTAATACGATTCTGTTGTAATGTAATTCACTGCACTGTTGTTGAACTAACTTACCAACTAGCTGAATGACTGAAGAAATACTTAATGCCAGTGTATTCTGTATGTTTTGGTATGACCACACTATATATAACCACCTATACCATTATTTAAAGAGACATTAATTACTTGAGACTACATAAAACAAAGAAGCATAAAACAAACTGAAAGTAAGTATATGAATGATTTAAAAGGAAATTGCTCATTCATACATTCATGAGTGCTGGAAATGTGCTGTGTTAGGAGAAGAAGGGAACAGGGACCAAAGCCCACAGACGCTAAATAAAAACCTACCCTTCCCTCTCTCTGTGTCACAGATGGAGCCGTGTGTGTGTATGCCTAGCAAACATAGCGCTTTTTATCTTTCTCTTGCGACACACTGGGTTATGCAGAACAGTGACGGGAGCAATCTTAATTGGCTCCCTTGTGGTGCCTCAGCCCTCCGAGCGTGACAGCTGACAGATTCTCTCTACTCAGATGATGGCCTAAAAAACACCAGACACAGATCCGTCTGAATGTGAAAATTACTTTTCATCTTTCAATCATATTTTGCATTTTCCCATGGCCTTAAATCACCACTATTATTTTTTTATTTCCTTTTCTCTCTGTTGTTTCATCCCACTCCTCTCTTCATCCACTACTCTTTGTTTATGGTTTGAAATTAGTTATTAGCTCTAGATTAGTGTCCACCACATTTTGTTTTGTTGGTGTTGAGTTCTTGCAGAGTTGTTATATGACATGTGGCTGACGTGTGTGTGTGTGTGTGTGTGTGTGTGTGTGTGTGTGTGTGTGTGTGTGTGTGTGTGTGTGTGTGTGTGTGTGTGTGTGTGTGTGTGTGTGTGTGTGTGTGTGTGTGTGTGTGTGTGTGTGTGTGTGTGTGTGTGTGTGTGTGTGTGTGTGTGTGTGTGTGTGTGTGTGTGTGTGTGTGTGTGTGTGTGTGTGTGTCTCTGTGTGTGTGTGTGTGTGTGTGTGTGTGTGTGTGTGTGTGTGTGTGTGTGTGTGTGTGTGTGTGTGTGTGTGTGTGTGTGTGTGTGTGTGTGTGTGTGTGTGTGTGTGTGTGTGATGAGCAGGCAGAGCTAACATGAGATGTGGAGCAGCGCTTCACTTCCCCAGGCCCCTCAAGCGATGCTTTGTAATCCCTCACTCAATTACCTCAGTCAGTGCATTGAAAGAGCAGTTGAAATACTGGTGCTGCCTCCACAGCTGCTCTTTTCTTCCAACTAAGTGATTGCCTTTGCCCAAATGGCCTTTGTTGAGTTGCCCTGTCATCTTCCCACGTCTCTTTTTAAAATACTGAAAGCCTGACTTCTCTTTTGATAAGTTGTCTTGCATGATTTGCTTTGTTTTTGTTTAGTATTTCTACACTTTAGCTATGGAAATGTTCACTTCTGATTTTTAAAGTTTAGAATGGTACTTATCATGAATAACAGGCCCCTGCACTGTCATGCTGCTGCTGTAATGTTCCACCTGTTGACTCATGCTGTACAACACAGATTGGACACAAAGAGCAGCTACAGAGTCCATGACACAACTGAGGAAGCATCTCATGTGGACATCCTTACCCTTGCCAATAAAACAGATACAAATGGGATTCTGTTAGTTACTGCAGAGACTATGGACACTAATATTCCCAACCTTTAAATTAGCAGGTTTGTGGACTATTGAAGTTTATTTATTTGGTGAGGAAATTATAATGATCCTTGAGCCATCAGCTGTATGTGTGTTTTGTTATTTTGTTATTCTTTAACTTCTATTGAACTTCGTTGTCTTGATATTTTGTAAGATTGACTGTGCAGCCTTTTGCACGGGTATGATTTACTTAGTTATTGAACTCCTATCATCCCTATGTTCGTTAGTGGAGTCTGTGAGAGAAGCCAAACACGCACCTTTAGCAGATTCCTTGTGATCTTCCCAAAAGAGTTTGGGATGATGAGCAGAACAGGACTGGTGGAGTGGCTGGAAGTCCTGCGTCGTTTCTGGTATGTGGGCACTGCCCAGTCCAAAGCCACCAGCCCCTCGTCGCTCAGCTGCAGGTTGTCCCGCACAAACTGGACCGGGCTGTCGTACGGACAGCACGCCTCATACACACTTTGGAGCAAGGCACCGGCTCGCCACGTCCACCCGACACACGGCGCGTAATTACTGAAAGTCCTGCAGTGTTTTAAGAGATAGTTGGCCAGTGCGGACGGTTTGCAGATCAGTGCCACGGCGCGTTTCTTCTCGTCCCCCGCCTGGGCACCGTCGCTCCCCTCTTGCTCTGAGACGCACCTCCCGGTCTTGTCAATCTTCGCCAGTTGTGAGATCCCCAGTCCCTGATGCAAGGCATCCGACTGGCTCTCGGTGTTAAAATATTTGAAGCCTGGCCAGATTAAGACCACCAGGATCACAAAGCACAGAGCCACAAGCCATTCTAGCATTGACACGGTTTGGGAGAGCAAATGAACACAACACGGTCGCTTTCCACACCGTATTCTGGAGCCTACGTTTTAATTATACATTTAAATGATCAAACACAGTCCACGAACACATGGTGCCTCACTCTGCGTCGATTTGGTCCTAAATTGATGCTCAGCTCGTCTGTGAAGTTTGTTGTTTCCCCGCGGTGCCAAGGCGCACCAGTCCTTCGTCCTTTAGGCGTGCTGTCTCAGTTACGCAGCGTCTCTTTTGCTCCAGCCCATTCAAAAAGCGACTTCATTTATCCATTACTGTTGCCACTGTGAATTAACGAATTAACGTGATTCATGCATCCAACGCAAAGTGCTTCGCTCGAGCTGTTACTTCAACCCAGCTGCTGGGAGCGCAAGATATGTCTGTGGGCTTTGTAGCGCGCAGCTAGTTGGAAACGCCTCCCATGTCCAACCCCCCTCGGAGTGAGCAGGTACTCTGCACGTATCTGCTCTTATTAGCCATCTTCTTAATTGGCCTACTTTCAGTGCACATAGTACAAAAAGTGCATATTAATTGTTTAGACAATCTTCCTGAATCTCAGGAGCCTGTTTCTCTTTCTCTTCCTCACTCTTTCTGCCAGAGACATAACTTACCTTCTACTAAACTGTAGTGAGCATGGTAATTATTCATAGATCTCAGTGAATTCTTTCTAAATTGATTTGGCAACAGTTACGTTTGTAACAAGTGTGCAAGAGATTACAAATAAATAAAACATGAGCCTAATTACGCTAACCTGTTTTAAAGGGGCTTCTTTCTGGGCACCATGCGTAATGAAACCTGGTAAGCATTTTGATGCATTTTAATAAAACAACTTCAGGTTGACTTCAGTATTAGTTTTGTAACTGTACTTTGAAGGGAAGGGTAAAATGAGACAACATGTAATCACTTTCTGAGACACAGCAACTTGTTGCAGCCTTGGTTGTTATTGTAAAGATACATAAGATGGAATATTAAATGTACATCTGTGTTAGAAAAATATCACTCGACACCAGGTTGAGAATCAATGATCAGGTAACTAATTTATTCTTGCAAGAAGGAGCAGAGTTAAATCACATACAAAGGATATGGGTTAACTCACACACATGGGGTATGTTGCTCAAAGGAACAACAAAAAACATCAGGCTTATATAGTCCAAAACACAGGAGATAACAAAGTCGTAAATCGAGGTGGCGCTAATATCAGCCGCGGGTGTCGGAAAGTCGGGTCATCTGCAATGGGTCATCTGTGACGTCTTCTGGAAAGAGTCACGTACTTCCTTCACGCTTCATAGAAATTAGATATTTAGGAGACAGCAAGTCTGTCTTCTCATAAATATCAACAACCTGAAATGCCCTGCCTCCTCCTATCACAAGAAGAGGCAGCTGCAAGGTCATACACAGTTCAGAGCCACACATGATATCAGTGCATTAAAACAACCCAAAGAGTGGAGAAAACAGTATTTCTCCAACAATCTGTATCATGCAGAAACACACCTTAGAGCTCTTACTTTTGTTAGATTTCTGTGCCATCTGTTTTCGAGGAACACTTTCTTTTGGACACTCATTTAACCGATGCCAGCAAAACACTTCACTGCAGTCTGCTGAACAAAAATGTATGGCAGTGTGAGCCAAAGAAAACAAACCCAAGCTGAAGTGACAAGGCAGAAGATTGCTGTATAGTGTTTGTTCAAATGTGTAATGACACCATTCCTGTGGTTTGGCCAGGGGAAAATACAATACAAATGGCTAAATGGGAGAAGCAAACGTTCAGAAAAGGAAGACGAATGAGAGGCTGAGGATCTTGGTGTCACCTCGGAGACACTTTGAATGCCAGAGCAGAACAGCTTACAGCTGGAGCATTAGAGAGCGGGGGGTGGGGGGAGTTATGTTGTGTTAATTGACTCATGCAGTTCCAGACACTGCTCATGAGACACTTCCCATTTGTGCGTGAAAACCATCTGAGTTGTTAAAGCCCTACGGACAGATTATGTCCCGCTGTAATGTAACTTTAGAAGCTCTTTGGTGGTCTAGTAAAATAGTTCAGTTGTTCACTTTAACAGGCCATCTGCACATGTCATTTCCTAAAATGTTATAATGATTTATTGCCCTTCATGCAAAACCTGCATTAACCCATGTTTTTGTTATCATAGATGTGTTTTTTCTTTAAATATCCAGAAACCAACACTACATTTAATGACCATTCCTGATTTTCTCATATGTACAGTAGGATGTTTTTAGAGGCTACTGTTTGTCTGAACTGCAGGTGGTGCTGGATTTTCTCTCTCAGTGGGTTTCATATTGGCCTTGACATAATAACATTTGAGCCAAAGCTAGAGATAAATGAATGAGAGTCACCAAGTGGAGCACAACCTGTTAAAATATTTAAGGGTTGACATTTTTTTTGGGGAGAATAATTAGTCATAAAAGTCTCGAAACTGTATTTTGGAGAATCACAAGGTATGACCACAGTTAAACATAACATTATGGATATTTGTCTTGTTACGATATTTCTAAACACTTGACTTTTAGGTTCACATACTGTATGGAAGATCACTGAGTCTTAGAGCAGAATATGGTTCTCTACAGCTGTATGTCACAGTATATTTGTGACATTGTAAATGTTACTTGATTACATTTCTCAAAAGCACTATTTTATGATTTGTTTACATTTTCCCAAGTGTAATTTCTGCATCACTCTCAAAACAGAAAGTATGTGAGGAATAGAGAAAGGAAGCATTCATGCCAGAACACACTCAATGTTTCCAAAAAAGGCCACTAAAGATAACGAAATAACCTGAATGCAACAATACAGTTTGCATTGATAAGAGGAGAAGAAAATGTCAACAAGGCCACTTGAACTTTGGGACCAGAACTAAAATACTAGATAAGCCTATACATCAAGGTTTGACCTTTTATCCTGGGACAACTTGGTTGAAGACCCTAGAAACATCACAAGGTTTGTCTTGAAAAAACAAACAACCACTGCTGTCCTGTGTTTGAAGACCCTGACCTTTATCATTGTGAAACATGCAGCCCTTATTTCTTTCATTATTGGTATTGTGACTAAACTAGAGGCACATAACCAACTAATAATAATAATAATAATAATAGCTTGGATTTATATAGCGCCTTTCAAGGGACCCAAGGTCGCTTTACAAGTAATAGGGAAAAAACAAACATAACAAAACAAAAGTCAGACAGACAAAACAACAGATCGATTTAGGGGCCGAAAGCCTTGGCAAACAGATGGGACTTGAGGGCCCTTTTGAAGGCGTCAAGTGTGGGGATGTTGCGAATCTCCGCAGGGAGAGCGTTCCAGAGGGTGGGGGCTGCCACACTGAAGGCTCTGTCCCCGAAGGTTCGCAGTTTGGTGCGGGGGGTGGTAAGCAGGCCAGAGTCTGAGGACCGCAGGTTCCGGGGTGGGGCATGTGGGTGAAGGATGTCCGATAGGTACTGGGGGGCAAGGGCATGGAGGGACTTGTAGGTAAGGAGGAGGACTTTGTAGGATATGCGGGACTTGACCGGCAACCAGTGTAGGTGGATGAGGGTGGGAGTGATGTGCTGCCACGGCTTTGTGTGCGTGAGTACCCTAGCAGCACAGTTTTGAACTACTGAGGGAAAAGGGTGCAAGGAAGATAAAAAGAGCCTAACCAAATAACTTTCCCAGTCATTGACTAAAAACTCTGACACACTGACACAAAGCCAAACCTAATCCACAATCAAACATTGTGCTTTGACACAGACACACACATTTTAACTCTTTTCCCTGTGGAGCTGACAGAGGAGGAAAAGTACAGGGCTGAAAAGAAGACCTAGCTTAGAGGTTGCACTTTCTCTCATGATATATTTTATGAATCAGAAGTCTCTTGGCTGCAAATCTGCTGAAATGTACACAACTTTACCGTGGCAGATTAGATTAGTTTAGAAGTCAAGTTAAGTACTTTTTTAAAAATATAGCACCAAATCATAACAGAAGCTATCACATGACACTTCATAGAGCAGACCAGCATAGCATTTCCTTCATGAGTGACACTGGCAATACAGTCAATTTAAACAGGAAGACACTTTGAGCAAAAGCCAACAACATTGGAAATATTTACTCTAAAAGCTAAATGAATAAAGCAATATTACTGTTATTTAATAAGAGAGGATAAAACCTATATCTATTGTTTGCTTTTATTTTAAAGCAACAATTAGACATTTTGAGAAATATGCTCATTGTTTTTAGCATTGCTGGCTCCAGTAGTATTTTAAACTACAATTGCAACCCCAAGTTGTTTGTGGTATAAATAAGTAACCAGACAATAAATGTAACAAAACATTATTTAAATTCTTGAATCACTTGTGCAAATACAAATGTAGTTTAACTACCAGCAAGCTACTGCAAAATACAGTCAAACACTTTATAATTACATGTAGTGTCGTACTCCACAACAATGCTGTCATTAAAACAAATTGGATGAGGCACAATGCCCAATTAAAGTAAGGATACTAAACATGAGCATAAGCAGCAAAAAGAGGAGAGAAGGCTGTGACATTGAATCCAAACAGAATAGGGCAGAGAGCACACTGCAGTTTCATGATTCATTTTATGTCTTTAAATTTAATATGTGGGCCGTACCAAATATCCCTCCTCCACATTTTAAATCTAGTTGCCTCTTTGGTGGGGATGCAAACCATCTGTGGTCACTAAGGAGGATTGTTATTTGATTTAATATTGAGATTCTTTAGTCTTACCTCACAGTGTCCCAGTGAAAATAGAGAGTGCTCTGCTGCAATGTGTCCTCCTTCTCTCCCTCCTCCCCCTCCTCTCCCAGCTCAGACCCTCATGCCCGGTCACCATGGCACAGCCTTTAACATCAAAACAAACAGAGACTGTGTCATGGCTTCAAACTGATTATTGTAATTCAGAGGAATGGGCGCAACGTCTTGGTTCAGAGCTACTTATGCTTTCTTTTTGACTTTTGTTTGATTGTTTCAGAGGTAAACATATTCAAAATCAGCAAAGCAACATCGCACCAAAGCCATTTACAAATGGGAAAGTTTACAGCAAATCACCTCTCACCCCACCTCTTTAACTGCAACCATATGCAGAACTCGTGTTAAGGCTGGCTTTAACTTTTTCATAAACATCTATGAGTGTGCTGTTGCAGAACATGTCCTTCATCTGAACCCTGACTCTGACGCAGGTCTACTGTTGACTGACTCATACCCACGATCAAACAGATGTGTCCACTTCTCTGGGGGAATATTTGATGGGCTGCAGTCTCTGAGGATTGGTGGACAAACACAAAGAAAATCTGAAAAAAATTCTCCATTTTCACACACTTGCTTTCATAACATCAATAAATCATATATGCATTTAGAGGTT